GAGTTTTGTTAACACTATCTAGATTCTCTAGAAGAGTCTATAGATCTCTCTTAGTGGCCAGAACGTAACCACTCTGATACCAGCAACATACTCTCAAACAAATTTATTTTTATATACGTGTTTTTATTAATTAAAATTTATTAAAATTATAAAATCAAGAAGAAAAAAAAGTGTGTTGAACGATTAACAAACATACCAAATTGTGTATAATATGTTTAATTTAAGATCATTTCCCAAATGAACTTGTGTAATATATGGCAATTATAACTCAACAAAATATATCGACTCAAAAGAATGAAATAATAGTTTTTTGAAGTTGGTTTTTGCATAAATAAACTTAAACGTAATAAAGAGATATAATTAAATGTAAAGTTTTTTTTTTTTTATAAATTTTATCAAACACTTGGTTAACAAGGTATTGACAAAATCAAATAGAGAGAATCATTAGGATTGAATTTTACTAGTTCATCATCATGTATTAGTTTAACAAAGAATTTTCATCAATATTTTATACCATTACTCAACACAATCACTAAAATTTTCAAATCCTAATTCCTTAGTGGCTTGAAACCATGTATTTCATCCAAATCACCAATCCCTCGGGTAAAATGATTGAAATACAAGCATTAGAAACATGGATATATAAAATGTCCATTAAACTCATGTTTATCCCTAAACAAAATATTCAATGGGTGTTTTGCCTCATACACAACTCAAGAAGCATTTTCCAATGCCTACTCAAGTAAAATCATCAACTTAAGATAAAATAAATCAAAAGAGCATTAAGAAAAGAGAAAAACACTAAATAATGAAATAAAACATCGATTAATGAAGTAAAGTTAATACATGAGATTCAACTAGTTACATCTAATCTCAATGAATGGGAGTTTAGCTACAAGTAGCCATTGGAATCACACAAAATTGTGAAGAATTGATGGAAGTGATGAAATGGAGCTCCTAGGGTGTTCTCATCCTCTAAGCATAGTAGTAATAGTAGTAGTAGTAGTAGTGGTGGTAGTAGTAGTAGTAGTAGCAGGAGTAGTAGTAGCAGTAGTAGTAGTGGTGGTGGCAGTAGCAGTAGTAGTAGTGGTGGTGGCAGTAGTAGCAGTAGCAAGTAGAAGCAGCAGTTTATTGTTGTTGTTGTTGTTGTTAACCAAGTTCTTAAGGAGACAACTTTACTTATCATTGCCTACAAGTTAACATTGATACACTTGTCAATAAACTAACAATCTATTTATAATATAAAAGTCATGCTACTTTGTATTATGATGACAAGTTATTTTAAAATAAACTTTAGGCATTGTCATATTAGCGAAAATGCTAACATGTCATTCTATGACCTCTTTTTTTTTCTTTCTAATATATCTTTATCTATGTAAACCTAACTACAAATTCACTTCTGACAACCTAGTTACAAATCCGCTTTAGAAAACCTAGCCTCTCTTGCGCCTCCCAAGTAGATTGACAATCCCACCATTTCCCTACCACACTCTACATTTTCCTCTATGACTATCTCCTCCCCAATATAACGCATTTATCATCTTTCCTCCATCGCCTTCACCTCAACCAAATTCATTTGCATTTTGTTATTTGGTCGACATTAGCTTCTCTATGCCAAGATCATGTTCGATGAGGATAAAAGGCCATCCATTTGTATTTTGTTATTTTTCTCTTTCAGGCAGATTGACAACCCTACCATTATAACGGTCATGCTCCACCTCTTCCTTTACAACTCCTCCTCCACAATATAACGTCCTCATCCTTCTCTTCTCCACTACCTTCAACTTGGCCAAATGTGACGCTAACATCAATCTTTTCATGTCAAAACCGTGTTTGATAAGGATAAAAGGTCATCCATTTGTATTCTATTATTTTTTTTCTCTTTCGATTTTACAAATGACTTATTTCTTAATGCATTCTTAACATCAAGGGTTATAACTTTCATGAAGACCACAAAAGAAAATTTGGCCATTTACTTGCTCAAACGAGTCAATCTATTGCTTAAGTGAGGTTAACTCGCTCAAAGTGACCATCAACTCATTCTAAGCAATTAAAACTTACTTAGAGCGACCAAAATTCACTCTAAACGACCCAAGTTAGAGAACACCTCTAAACAGCAATCCAGGCTCGCTTAGTGCGACCAACAACTTGTAACACCCCGAATTTTTCTACTAATACTATGAATAATTATTATTTATTTTTGTATTTATGAAGATTATTTTCTTATAATTATTTTGATTAAATAAATATGTTTGATTGAATTTTTAAATGTTTTTATTAATAATCATTTATGAAAATTATTTTGTATAATATTATTAATTATGATATTTTGTTATAATTATTATTTGAAGAAAATCATGTTCTAAATTGTACTGATATTTTATTTTAATTTGATATATATATATATATATATTATATTTATTTATTTATTAATTACTAATTATGGATTTTCATAGCCCGGGAATAGTCCGTTCCACTTTGGGAACGGGCCGTTCCAACGCGAGCATTGATGGGTAAAATTTTAACTCAGAACGGGTCGTTCCACTTTGGGAACGGACCGTTCTAGATGTCGTTTTTAAGAATATGGTAGACTCAGAACGAGCTGTTCTATCTTGAAACGAGCCGTTCCGGAAACCCCAGAACGGGTCGTTTTGGTTTTGGAACGGGCCGTTCTGGGAGAGGCTTTTGTACCTGTTTTGTGTGCCCAGAACGGGCCGTTCCGAATTCGGAACGGGGCCGTTCTGGTCGTGGCCTGATGCCTATAAATAAAGCGTTTTGGACTCTTTAAAATTCATTTTTTTCATTTTCTAATATTTTTCCTCCTTCCTCTCTAAAGACGAAGGTGAACCTAGAGGGGGCGATCAGCAAGATTTGGCTCCTGCCTATCGAGGTAAGGGGGAGAGTGAGAAATCTTGCTCTGGATGTGGGAATATATGTTGGTAGTGGGATTGGCCCCCAATCCTGTGTTTGCTGTATTTTTGTATGCTCATGTATGAGGGGTTTCTCCCAATTGTATCTATTTTGCTTATTATTTTTCTTATATGCAATTAATCGTATGATTTGAGATCTCTATCAGTTCCTATGGGAAACCCTATGATAAATAGGTAATATATGAATATTTTCTGTTTTGATTTCTGATTGCTCTATTGTATTCCTTATTGAATGTAATGTGTAAATATGTGATTAATTTTGAGAATAAATATGTTTTGATATGATTTAAAGTGTTTTATGGGTTCCTACGGGAAACCTATGAGAAATAGGCAAAATATGAGTATTTTCTATTTTGATTTCTGATTGTTCTGTTATATTCCTTGTTTGATGAGATGAATGAATATGTATTTAATTTTATAAATAAACGAGTTTTGATATAAATTAAAGTGTTCTGTGGAGGCTTTATGAATATGATGAGATAATGTGAAAGGTGATTGAGACATGAGATATGAAATGTGATAATGAAATATGATGATGAAACGTGATGACGAAATGTGATGATGTGATATGACCATGGGAAATGATAATGTGATATGAGAATGTATAGAGTCTTGATTAACATGCATCATTTGCATAAGTGTTTTAAGGGTACGATATGGAATACACCGCCAAAGAAGGCCCCCTAGTGTAAAAGCTTTGGGGATTAGTCCTTGGGGATAGCTTGGTTTGGAAGTCCCAGTCTCGCCCATTGTGTGCATGGGATGTATCTTGCGCAGCTTAGCTATCCCGAGAGACTCTGGTAGTATATCCTTCTAGTGAGAGTGCGCAGAGGATGTGACCCGGCATGTACTCCTAGACTACTCTTCGTGTATTGCTAGCGACAATATGTCATGTGATATTTTACTGACGCCACATGCATGATAATATGTAGTCCGTGTCCATACATGTGCATTTTCAATGTTATCCGATAAATTGATACTTTTATGTCTGGGATGAGTGAGATGTAATGTTATTGTTAATATATCTATGCTATATCTGTCTTGTTTGTGTTTGGCTATCTAGTGTGTATTTCTACACTGTGAGCCAAAGTGAGATGTTTCTCACTCCCTTTTCTCGTGTTGTTTTGTTTTGACTGTTATACAGGTGATCATTAGCATGAGGCTAAGGATGTTGGTGATGAAGCTTAGGCTTCTATGTTGGGTTTTGCTCTGATAGGACATGTGATATCGGGACATAGATATGATTAGTTTAAGATGTTCTTATTAAATTATTTTGAAAAATTCAGTTTTATTTCTTTGTAATTTTACTGACATGTTATTTGGATTAAGTTTATGAATGTGAACTCTTTACCCTTACAGGGTTGGAAATTTGATTTTTAATGATGAAATTTTTTTTTTATAATTACTGTATATGTATGTCGGGGTAGAGGGTGTCACACAACTCGCCCAGAGCGACCAACAACTCACTTAAATTGACCAAAATTTACTCTAAATGACCCTAATCAGAGAGCATCTCTAAACACCCATACTCACTTGGAGTGAGCCCCATGGGAGCTCTAAGCAACCCAAACCTAGAAAACATGTAGAGTCAAAGCTTAAGAACATCAACCTAACAAAACACTTCAATAATTCAAAAATCCACCTAGCTCATATATTAATTCATACATAAAACTCAATCATTCATACATATACCTTCCCAACAACTTATTTTGTCCCAAAATCATCTCATGCAACTACAAAATCTGTCAAGATCATCAAAATCATCTCAGCCACCTTAAGAACATCCAAAAGCCCACCAACACAACCTTCAAAAATTCTTAGACTAAATTCTTATTTGCATTATTGCAGGCCAAAAGACAAGCTGCCCAAGAACGACAGAGCAAGAATGATTAATTGTGTTAGGTACATGGATAAATTGAGTGTGGAGCAAGCACAAGTACAAGTATATGGATTTATTGAGCCTAAACCCATCCAAAAACCAGGAAACACGAAGGTCCAGATCCAGAAATATATGACAAAATGGATGAGTGAATCAGGAAGAAATCTATAATTGGATAAATAAATTGAAGGGTTAGTTTTTTAATTTATTTTTTAATCATAGTAATTTTATAACTAATTTGTTTGTCATACAATGTAAGTCCCATTGGCAGTTAATTGTAATCGTTCCTAAGGATTACACCGTGGTGTGGTTTTGTTTACTACATCAAAAACCAAGCCATGAAATGAAAAGTCAATTACAAGGTTAACTATAATTTTTCTTTATTTTTTAAAACTATAACTATATATATTGGCTAACATATGTTTTTATTTCAATTAATTAGAATCGTGTCTAACGCTAATATTTTAAGTGGAAGAGTCAGATCAAAGACATTGCACTTCATATACCCTAAGGTTAGCAAATTATTTAATAGAGACAATAATATTTGACTTTATCAACTTTGGAAATAATATTGTTATTTGATTCTCATTTTAGTGTAATAAGCAACAAGACTCATTTGAATGTGGCTATTACATCATGTATTGGATGAGAGTCATAATTTATGCGGGTATTACTGATTGTTGGGGCAGATAATTCATATCAAAATTTATTTAAGTGTATTTACCTTTATGATAATTAATATTGCATATGAATGACACTTAAATTAGTGTTTCAGGTCTTTCAAAATCAATCTCCATTGCTCAAAGATGAAATCACAAAGATAAGAGAACAATGGGCAACTTTTTTACTTCAAACTATATGATAGTTACATTTTTAAGTTTAATTAGTTACTTCAAACTATAGTTTCATAGCACTCACAAACTTAGGTTTTGTAGCTTTTTTAGGATAATAGGGTTTACATTATTGTCTTAATTCATGCTTTTTAACATTTATATATTATTTTCCTTTTGTGTTTCAATTTTGAAATTAAATTATATTTGAATTTGTATTTTGGATTGCCTAGGTTAGGTGTACTACTTGATTTTGTATTCTAGATTGTATGTAGGTTTTGGGTATATTAAAAAGTAAAGCAAATCTTTAAAAAAACGCATTAATTAATGTCGGACTATACCATGTCCAATGTAAATTTACGTCGGATATGGTACAATCTGACGTAAATATTTTGGTGTTATTTTTCTTGTTTTTACAACTTTTTTATGTCGGTGTTTACAAATCTCCAACGTAATATTACGTCAGCTTTTAAACCTGATGTAAATTTACGTCTCCTGCATTCACATCAGACTTTTTTCTGACGTAAAAACCTCAAAATAACAGACATAAAATACCTCTTTTGCACTAGTGAGTTCTAACTCTATCATCTATTATACTAAAAATTACAAAAATCGCAACAGTTTGCCTAAATATTGACAGCTTGACTTTTTCTCACTAAAAATGTCATAATAGGAGTTATAGACCTCATTTTTAGGAAATTCCAAATCCATTTGAAAGCTAACATCAAGGATTACAACCATCATGAAGACAACAAAAGAAAATTTGGCCGCTTAAACGAGTCAATCTATTGCTTAAGCGAGGTTAACTCGCTCAAAGTAACCAATAACTCATTCTAAGCAACTAAAAACTTGCTTAGAGCGACCAAAATTCACTTTAAATGACCCAAGTCAGAGAACACCTCTAAACAACAATAAGCTCACTTAGTGTGACCAATAACTCGCTTAGAGCGACCAACAAATTACTTAAATCAACCAAAATTCGCTCTAAATAACCCAAATCAGAGAGCATCTCTAAACACCCATACTCACTTGGAATGAGCCCCATGGGAGCTCTAAGCGACCCAAACCTAGAAAACATGCCAAGTCAAAGCTTAAGAACATCAACCTAACAAAACACTTCAATAATTCAAAAATCCACCTAGCTCATATATTAATCCATACATAAAACTCAATCATTCATACATATACCTTCCCAACAACTTATTTTGTCCCAAAATCATCACATGCAACTACAAAATCTGTCAAGATCATCAAAATCATCTCAGCCACCTTAAGAACATCCAAAACCCCACCAACACAACCTTCAAATCTACAAATCCTCTAATTCATGCAACAATTGATAACCTCACTCACATATAACACAACAATTCAATCAACCATTCATCCTAACTTTCTTTACCTTGATGTTGAGCTTTCCAAAAGAAAAGGAGAGGAAGAAGAAGAAAAGAGGAAGAAAGGAGAAGAACTACGAAACTCCGACAACTACACTACAACTTTTTCCTACAACTCAGGTGGGTCTAGAAAAGAATAAAGAAATGAGTTCAACAAGAATTCAAAATGCCTAGGGTTACACTCAACAAGAACGCTTTCAACGAGTCAAGACAAAGAAGTCACTAGAGGATAACACAAGCTCACTTAGAACGAGCTATTTGGACTCTCTAAGTGAGCATGCCAGACAAAAAGTCCATTACAAAATATTATAAACAAGGGTTTTTAGAAGGTTTTCATACTTTTCTAAGCACAATTTTAGAAAGATTAGAAAAAAATTCTTGTGAGAGCTTTATTGTAATCACAGATAGATCAAAGACCACTCTTTTCTTATGTAATCTTAGTTATAAGTAGCTAAATTCTCTACTTTTTGATGTAATTGTTGTACTAATGTAACTTGTTCTTGTTCAATACATTGTTTTTATTCGGTTAATCAATTTTGCTTTATACTTGATGCTTGTTTTGACCAATGCATGATTTTATAGCTTTAACTGAGTTTGAAAAATATTTTTAGAGTTTTGATCACGGTATGACATTAATAACACTTATTCTTAAGAATATAGGTAAGTCTTATCAATCAATTTTTAGGTCCTTAACCTTAATACGGGGTGTTTAACAAAAATTACCAAATAATTAGGATTTTTTTAAACAACCTAGAGTTTCTCGCATAAGAAATTAGGATTTAAATATATTAGAAAACTATTGAATTAAATGTATAATTTTTAATATTGAATTAAAATTAGGAAAGGTTAATATGCAGAAGGTTAATAAAATCAATCTTTGACTATTCTTAAATTCAAATTCTTCATTATTTTGTTACATATTTTTTTACGTTTATCATTCTCTAAAATTTTATACTTCATGTTAAAAAATTTTAAATTTTTTTAATCCATTTGTTTAGTACTAGAACCAAATTGAAAAATAACTCAAGCCTATGTGAATTTAATAACTTAAATTTCTGTCCAATTCCTATGACACAATTGATATATTTGTAAAAAATGCATATAAATAAAACATAAGTTCTTTACTCCCACTGATAATTTGATATCTTCTTTCAGATGTGATAAGACATTACTATTTATAAAATATAATTGAAATAAATATAATTTGATAACAACAGCTAGTCCAACTGCACTATAATTCACGCAGAACTACAAAAGTAAAATGCACAACTAGAACCAGAATAAAACATACCAAAAGAGACTGTAGATACAGTACCTTAAATAAGGATGATTTCTTCAGCGATGTAACTAATAAATTCACAAATACTTCCATCCAATATGTACTCATCTTCATGTATTACCGGATGGATACTGCAGAAGCTTCCTTTTTCACTTTCATCAACTTCTCTTCTGTTCTTTAGAATTGCAATGTTATAGCTAAATAGCCAGAATTTCCTGTATTTCATTACTGCTTTGACGCCTTTCTAAATGCTGATCAGTCTTCGTAAATACCTTAAGACATCTGCAAAAAATAAATGTTCCAAAACAATGTTATTTCTATTTTTTTTATCACTGTATCAGTAGAAATGTTTATCGGCCTCGCCGAAAACTAATATTCCTCAAATCTTTGACTACATTAAAATTATCTATTCCAAGAGTGTTTTCTAATCAAACTCAAAACTCAATTTTCAAACTTCAATCCTTGAGATTTGAGTATTAACTGCAATACCAATTGGACCAAGGAACATTGGCAGAATGTTATTTCTATTTGCTAACATTGAATATCATAAAACTGTGAACAATATAAACAAATAATTTCTTTTAATTAAGGTATCTTAAATTGTGTCTTTTTAATCTTGCAAAAGACAACATGGACAAAGTGTCAAAATGCAAGTGCCAACTATTTTTCTTTCTTACAGGTTTCTTATTGAGAATAAAAATAAAATAAAAAAAAAAACGCACTAAATTACATATACCGAACAGAAGAGCATAAAGTTCCATACCGAATAAACAGACACACGAACAAGAACAATCTTCAGTCAAATCCCGCTCCTGATTATTTATGTCAATGCAATCGTTCTCATCACGCGTAATAAAATCGTATGCAGCCCGCTGAACATATAGCGCGACAGACAACTTATTCCGCAGTTTAAGGGGAACGGAAAAATGATTTTTCTGGTCAAGTATCAGAAAGACCCCACACTCTCGGGTACCGATGGTCAAATGTTGCCCAATAGCATTTGTAACAAAAAACTCAAAGGAAACACGTCTTTCACCAGTGTCATAAATTTCGACGATGCTGTCAAAATGGTTTGCGTCATACCATATAAAAACATGATCAGAATTCAACCCAGTGACAACCTCATCATACCAGGTGGTCGCGGGTCCCAACCTCCTACCATTTGCCACGTAGCACTGACACCATATTTTAGCACCAAGGTTCTTCATTCCCCAGGAGTGGGAAAGAACCACACACAAACATAATCCCACAAAGTCAGATCGGGAAGAAGGAAGATCAATAGTGATTGAGGAGTCTGTTGTTCGATATTTGAAATGCCCTGGGACTCTGCTACCTGGGAAACAAACTTTCACAAATTTATAATTAATTTCACGTGCCGCAAGCTCGGTTTCTGAGTGAGCAACCTCCATAATGCAATGGAATGAAGGTTCATCCAATGCAACACAATTCATGAATGAAATGAATCTGGTCTTCACCCTTAAAATTGCGTAAGGTGTCGTTAAAATGGATACTGTCCTCAATGACCTGCAGTTCATGGCATTCAACACTGTGACAAATGGTGGAAGCTCTGTTAGACTCCCAAGCTTCCTACAATTTTCTAAGGCCAGAATGCTTAGATTATCTAGATGCTTGATCCTAGCTGGCAATGTCTTCACATTGCTACCATCTAGTCTTAACTCACGTAATGCATATAAGCCACCGATGTTGTCAGGGAGCTCAAACAAGTTACAACAATTCTTCAAGTGTAGTAGTTGTAGAGATTTTGAGCGACAAAATAATGAATGCAGCAAATGTTTACTAATTGCCAGTCTACAATTAAAAATTCTAAGCTCCGCAAGATCTTTTAGGAAAAATAAATCAACAGGAGCCCGTCTCAAACGATATACACTGAGTGCCTTGAGATTTCTAAGACGCCGAAATGAAGGAGAGTCCAACATTTCAATACCTGTGCTGCTTAAATCCAAACTTGTGATTGAATCTGATGACACGGAGAATTCCATGAGACTAGTGCAAAGATTGACACTAATATTCTCCAAAGATGTTAAATGTTTCTCACTTTTGAGACTCTTGAGCTTTTTGCAGCCATCCAGTATCAAAGTTTCAAGTGTGTCAAAAGAGAAAACAGATGGATGAATATCACACAAACTTTCACAACCGAAAAGATTGACCCATTTAAGCCTTGACGCCTTAGACAAATCTGGGAGGTTCTTCAAGTGCTTGCATTCACTTAAGTCAATTCGCACTAAATTTGCAACATCCTGCAACAATTCAAAAGGACCGATCATAATGGAACCTAAATCTTCATATTTTAATTAAATCAAAAACTCATCTTATTTTTTGTATATATTTTACCTGCACCCCCTGCCAAAGTTCTGTAACATGGCTGTGTGGCATGCAAACCTCAACAAGCATCTTAGCACAAAAGGTTACTGGAAAAGACTTCAAAAAGCATCCATTCCACTCAAGGTACCTCAATTTACCAGACAAATTATTAAGGACGCCAGAATAGTGCACATTTCCTGATCTCTTACCCGAAGGTACATATAATCTAAGAATTCTTAAATTAGTCATCAAATTCAATGTGTTAGTTTTCAAGTGCAAATCCTCAATCTCAGACAAATCTAATTTTATCCCTTCAATTACATTACTCCCCTACAAAACAAGTAAACAACATTAAATTTGCTATGAATATTTCTAACAACAGATGTCAAGTTTCATTTGGGGGGAAAAGTGAGTGTTTTTCCTAACCTTTTTATTTTCAAGTACATCAGAAATTTCTTCTATATCTCTCAATCGACTACGTTTTCCTGGATCTTCAATGCCCCCACGAACTATGTTCAAGCCCATTTCCTGTATCAAGTCATGCATTTGTATCGTCCCAGAATATGAAATAGTTATAAGAGCTTTGTCTTCAAGGACCTTTACTCCACTGGTAGCATAGAAGCCACAGGCATCTAGTATTCTTACGACATAATCTTTGTCTTCACCTTTGAAAAAGAATGCAATGTCCAGAAATATTTTCTTCTCTAGGTTGTCTAATTCATCATAGCTCACTTGTAATACATTTTGAATTCTGTCATTGGGACAATTCATGAGTTTACTCAATTCACATTCCCAAAATTCTGTACTTCTACAATGAAGATTAGAACCCAAAACTTTTAAAGCTAATGGAACTCCCCCTGCATATTTCACGGCCCTTTCTGAGAGATCTTCATATCCCTTATTAGGATGTCTTTCCTTGAAGGCATGTAAGCAAAAAAGTTCTAGAGATTCGACAAAGTTCCATATCCCAACCTCGTATATCTTATCAACTCTTCCGGTAAGCAAATGCCTATTTCTTGTTGTTATAATAACTTTACTATCTGGGCCTACAAAGTTACATTGTTCTCTAAACAAAATATCTACTTGATCTAAACTATCCATATCATCGAGTACAATCAAAACTCTTTTATTGCTGAGCCTCCTCAGAATGAATGTGGATCCTGCAGGATTATCTTTATGATGTTCATCCTTGAGCAGCTCAGAAAGAAGCTTATCACATAAAGAGGTTAGTCCAAGCCTTTTTGCTTCCTCTCTAACATTTGCTAAGAAGCAGACAGCATCATATTGCGGAAAGAGTTGAGAAAACAAGGCTTTGGCAATAGTTGTCTTTCCAATCCCGCCCATGCCCCAAATTCCAATTACTTGAACATTTTGTTGTAACTGATGTTTTTGATCTTCTGACAGCAACAATTTGACTTCTTCACAGTGCTTTTCAATTTCAACAAGGTCTTGTACTTTTAGTTCAACAGGGAACCTTAGGCTCAACTTGTGGGATACATCTTTCACAATTTTCTCTATTACTTGAGATTCATTCCTAACAAAGAACGCACAAACAAGATATCAAGTATGAAAATAATAAACTGTGAAATATAGACTACCCTGCCACAAATAACACTTTAAAATGAAAACCTAATTTCATGTAATGCACTCAAAGGCAATTTGGCGTATTACCCTTTTTAATATTGACATATTATAAGATTAAAACATAAAGTGAATCTTAAAATTAGCATGAGTAACGAATGTGACATGGAAAAGAGATAATAGTTACTTGTAGTCACGGCTACGAGAGTCCCATCCAGATATATTGGCAGCTTCAGTGAGAGCAGCTTTCCAGTCTTGGAGGATTTGGTTGTCTGTGTCACCAAAATATGTCTCATGTTTTGCAATTGCTTCTCCGTAAGGGCCACTGTAATTCCTTATGTGGGATGGATCCACTTCGTAGAACACAGGTATGGCTACGAGTCCCTGAATTATTCTGCAGTGAAGTATTTCCACCAGTTCTTTCAAGCACCACTTGGAATCAGCGTAGGTTTCGGAGAAAACGACGATGGCGAGGTGTGAGTCGTGAATTGCTTGGGACAGTGAGGGCCAAACCTCGTCTCCTTTATGAAGGTTAGCGTCATCGGCGTATGCTTTGATGTTGGCTCGATCGAGAGCAGAACGAAGATGGCTAATGAAGTTGGAGCGGACGTCCTCACCTCTGAAGCTGATGAAAACGTCGTACTTCTTAGGACTCCATGTCCATGCTGACATGTTTTGTTTCGCCATTGCTTCTTCGAGGGTTGCAAATTGGAACAAACTGCTATTCACACTGACAAAAGCAAAAGAGTAAACTAAGATTACTACATTCCCTATTAGTAACTCCAATCATCATTCTGCATATTTTGAATTTTCTTTTATATTTTAATTCTACACTAACTCCAATCATTCATATCTCTTCAGTTTTTCGACCTCTCTTTTATCATTTACCCCTTTGTGCTAAAAGAAAAAATGAAATTTACCTTTAGATACTTTTTCAATTTACAGCAACAAGACAAACTAATCAATTGCAATTTGCAACTGAGTGGATACTTGACCCACAACGCCTACATTATTATATGGCTTCATCCAACACGTGTTTGTCATCTAGCTAGACCAATTTTCATATGATCTGTTTTTGATTTTCAATTGAACAAATAATTTTTCACCGGGACCTTGTAATTTTGAATTATGTAATAATTGTTCTTGCACCAACAATAGTTTTACAAGGCTCATAAAGGTTATTTGTAATTCAGAATAGTTATTTATAGGAAAATAATGCACATATTCTATTAAAAAAAAAGGGAAAATAATGCATAGCCACTATCGTCATAATTGACAACTGGAAAGAGAAAGGAAGGTGAGTGAGTTACAAGAAATAAGAATCACAATTCGTAAGTGATGAGACTCGAGATATTTTGGAAGGTAAGGTTCAAATCCCTGATATTATATAGGAGTAGTGATAAGTTGAGGAGAATAGCACTGTTTAAATAAGTTTGATTTATTTTTAGAAAATAAAATTTAAGCCTGTTTTTTTTTTTTCGTAACTAATTAATGATTAGTTGTTAAGAAAATTATAATTATTTTTATAAAGTTGGACTAACCCATATACTTTAAGAACCAAATTATAAATCAAATTCTCAACATATTACTCACCATGAGATTCATTCTAAAAATGTCCTCTATTGTCTTTTTATTGATTCCTACCTTCTTTTAACATGGTTAAAAATCATGTCATATCCACCTACTTCACTAGTATCTCATCCTTCTTTACAACATATATACAATTCATCTTAATTTATTTTTTCATCCTTTTTCAGCATAGTTAAGATATTTATTTGTGAATTATATAAGGCTTAGTTAATCTATATGTTTGTCTATATTGACTGTATTTTGATTTAGTGAGTTAAAACAACTTAATTTTTAGGTTTTAGTTAATTTTTGAATTTTTGTTCATTTTGATAGAGTATAACTTAATTTATGGAACTTGGAACTGAATAATCTTGATGAATCTAGAAAGCTAACACAAAGAAATTCAATTTCATTTGTCACAAGTTCATGCCAATTCAAACTATAGCAAGTTCAAAATCATACTTTAAGTTGTTTTCTCTACATTGAACTTAACTTTCTAATTAGGAGCTTACTTTAAGAATATCTTAGTTTGTTAGAAAGACAATTCAATAGGTTTTTAATTAAGTCAAATATGTCAATTGATTTAGAGTATTATAATTAAGTCATTAGTAAGTTGCAAGATACATTTTATGTTCATTCTTTAGAATTTGGTGTAATTTCTCCTAAAAATTTGCTTGAATTCTCTCTTTTCCTCTTTTCCCACACTTTTTCTCTAAAATCTTTGAATGTTTTGGTCTTGCGTCTTTTTTTTATCATATCACAGGTATCTTGTAACTTATTAGACAAACTTCACTTACAGTATTGTGATTTTCGTTGACAATAGATCATCCTACAATGTATAATTTTATCGAATGAATTTGATCCTTAGATGGATGACTTTCTCAACTGAATTTTCTTTATTATTTTTACTTCTTCATTATAACTTAGTAATCTATTGATTTTGAAGAAAAGATATTTTCTCTACTAATTAATGATAAGATTGAAAACAATGAATTTGTGTATTAAAAAAAATAACCTAAGTTGTCCCTATACCTCAAAATTAAGAGAAATAATGGTAATTCGGAAACTGTTATGATGTGAGACCATCATTTATTTATATATATAATCATTTTATATATGTTATACATTCTTATGTTGTTGCACAATGATCTATCTTGGCATAATTATTTCCACTTCAATGATCTTTATATATATATATAAGCTAGAGCAAGCATCTCTATGTAGTAGCAAGTGTGATCTGTGAAGTTACACTTCATTGTAAATGCTTTTCTCCACTACTTATTCATCCAGCAAATCTTAATATAACTTCTCCCTGTTGTATGTTTTGAGTAGGGGTGGGCAAAAAAAATTGAACTGGTGGTGAACTGAACTGAACTGTACTATAAAAAACTGAACTGTTTATAAAAAAACTGAACTGAATTGTTTAAAAAAAATTGAACTGAATTGAACCGTTGGAAAGTTAATTGTACTGAACTATAAAACTGAAGTGAATTATAAAAATTGAACTATTTTTATAAAAAGATAAAAATTAAATGTGTCTAACATGTTATGTCTTAATGGAATAACTCGATAGTCTAATAACTAAAACTTTAGAAGAAAAAAAAAGTGATAAAAAATATTGTATCAATTTTATCGAATCTAACGGATCAATTGAGTTATGTTGGACTACTTATTTTTAGGCTTAAAATTCACTGAGTTTGTTTGACTTAATTTTATATTTTTTTCTTTGAAAAATTTAAATAAAATGAAAAATAAAGTAAAGTTGGCAAATGTGTCCTATTTTGGTAGATCAATGAGTCAAAATTGTTCAATTCAAAATATCATAACAGTTCAGTACAGTTTAAATTGCAGTTCAGTTCAAGTTTTTATAGTATAGTTAAGTTCAGTTCAATAACACAAAAAAATAGTTCAGTTCAGTTTGTCTGAACTAATATTTAAGTTCAGTTCAGTTCATGAGAACTACTTTTAAGTTCAGTATAGTTTTTATAAGTTCAGTTCAGATCATTTTGCACATCCCTAATTTTAAGCACCTAGCTCTAAGAGTACCAATATATCATATATCATATATATTGTTGTAACAAAATTGAAAATGAGACATCAGTACAGGGATCAGAACTAAAATACAACCCACAAGTAGAATTGTTATTGTTAATTATTAGAATCACCAAATCAATCACAAGTGATTTACCATTTCATTTTACAACAACTGTTCTCCAGCACACTACTAGAATTTCTCTTATTACATGCGACTTTTCTTGCAAATTTTTATGAAAAATTCGAAACATTGTTCCTAAAATTTTTTCAAGCACTTGTTTCCAGGCCTCCAACATGTGATACATAATCTTTTAAACTCTAAGATTGTAGATTATAAGCTTAACATTCAATCATACAAATCAACTTATAAGTTAAGTGTTGCCACAACTTATATACTATTTAATTGTTTTATTTTCAATCGATGTGGGACTTGAAATTTTTTTAAAATATTAAACTTATAAATTTAAATATTTTTTTGATTTTTCTTGCGGATTAAAATTGACAGGAAAATCTGCAGGAAAAGTTACCTGCAAATTCTTTTTTACCATTTAATAAACATTACTTGTGAATTTATTTTTGCAAGAAAATCTGCAAGAAATAAAATAAAATTCTTACAATATTTTCTGTAAATTTTTACCGTGAAATTTTTTTTATGATCATTAAAATTGTAGCAAAATTTGTATAAAAAAAAACTTGTAGATTATTTTTTATAAAAAAAATTGTAAGAAATATCTGTAAATTATTTTTCGCAAATAAATTTGTAAAAAAAATTTGTGAAATTATTATTGCAAGAAAATTTACAAAAAAATTCTGCTAATATTTTTATTAAAAAAAATCGTAGAAAAATGACATTTTTCTAATAGTGTCACTTTATATGATTTATTCTTGCTTTTTCTTTAATCCGGTATTAGCTATAGAATTCTCTTGATTTAACGTAAGTAACATGTTTATTGCTGGTTGAAGGAAAAGTTGGAATAACACAAACATATATGATGGATCCTGGTGGACAAAGCCCAAATATAGACTGAAATTTTAACACCTAACACAGGGAGGGATTATATTTTACTACATATCATGTGCTCAATGTATGTCTACTCTTGTTCTCGACACATTTCCACGTCTAATCAGTGTATTTCTTCACTAACAACTACGACCTAATGTATGCTCGATGAACGAATTTCAATGTGTTCAGTGCATTTCTTGACAATAAGTCTATGCATGATGTGCTCTTAATTACCATTTATCTTTCTATAATGAGTACTGCTAACATCAAAATATATTTTTCTCAAAAAATACAAAAAAAAAAATAATAATTAAAGAAAATATCTTTTTGGCAGAAGCTACAAAGGAAAAAGTGCTCTCATTTAGAATACTGGAAATTCAAATCTTAGGAACAAGTTCCTGAATGTAATGTTTTTGTATTTCTTTTCCTGTCACGTGCATTCTCTGTTCCACTTATTAGAGTCTAGTCTCGCTCACATATAATACTAATTTTACTTTCAAGTATCTTTCTCTAATCTCTTTGCTTTCTTTATTATTACCGTGGATTTCTAAACTCTTATGGTTAGGTTTAGATAAATTTCAATATTTAACTTTTATATTGGTTGTATTTGTTTAAACTTAAACGAAGTGTTTCTAAGCAAATGTTTATTAAAAAAAATTCTTTAAGAAACAAATATAGGAGTTACTTCTTTAAAAAAAGTATTTATTCAAAAAGAAAATTTGAACAAAAGCATTAAAAAGTATTAAAAAAATGCTTATTTTAGTTTTAAAAAATTATAAGAAAAAATTTCAACAAACAAACTCATAATTTTTCACTAGTTTTATACCTTATATATTCATATATATGATTTGAGTCTTTATTAAGTATGTTGTTAACATTTTCCATCACTAACTGATTACAATTAATGATTATCTACTTGAATTTTCAATTGAAAAATTGGAATTTTTGTTTGATTTGATTTATTGGCAATGTATTTTATACTCTAACCACGACTAAGAATTGTGATATATGTAGCCCGATATATTCTTGTAATTAATTAATGTTAACCACACGACTAAGAATTGTGATATATGTATCCCGATATATTCTTGTAATTAATTAATGTTAATTTTGAGTTAAGATTAGTTTAGGAAATAGGGTTCCTAAGAGGATAAAAGGTTTTTTTACCAAACAATCAGATAGAATCCAAACTTAATGAATTCTTATATCAATTACATAACTAATAGAATGGTGTTAATAACTAAGTTACACTCTCCGCAAATGAAATTAGTCATTTTTCCGCTTTAAAACATTGTATATGAAGTATGTTTGTAGAAAAAAAAAAATCAAATAAGATTATATTAGAGGATAATTAGAATTAATGTTTCCTAACTTACTCACTTTATATCTATATAATTTATCTATAT